CCCCCTCTGATTTCCAGCTTACAGAACTCAGTTATTGCTATTTACTTGTGTTCATGTTTCCCTTTCCAGTGTTTTCTTTAAAAATGAAAATGCCTTAGTGTTTCAGGACTTTCCAATGTGCCAGACACTGTTGTAGGCTTTCATGATTCATTAGGGAACAAACGAGACAAAAATCTCTGGCCTTAGAAAACTTACATTCTCTGGGAGGGAGGAAAATAGGTGAAATTACAGATGTAAGTTGTTTAGTATGGTGGTTGTCACAGAATAAGTGTTTGGCAAATAGTAGGTATCTTACAAAAATACAAAAAGAGATAGTTACTGTTTAGTGAATAGTTGAGGGAGATAGATTAGGTGAACAAATGCTTATGCTGTGTAAGAAGTCCATAGTAGTCACATACAGAGGCATTAAAAATAACAACAAACCAAACCTACTGCCATCAAGTTGACTGTGACTCATAGTGACCCCCATTGGGTTTCCAGTGCTGTCAGTCTTTATGGAGGTAGATTGCCTCATCTTCTTCCTGTGGAGCAGCTGGTGAGTTTGAATCACTGACCTTCTGGTTAGCAGTCAAATGTCTTACCCACTACACCACCAGAGGAACACCAAAGGTAGCATGAATAATTGAAATCTATAGGTAATTCTGAAATCAAAAAGCCACTTCTACATTTTACTCCCTCTCAAATATCAAATATTTCTGCAAATTTCTAACTGAAGTGAGCAGACAGTAAGCACTGTAAGAAAGAAGGTAGACAAGTGTAAGTAGACTCAGACTTTAAATGCAGGTCCTCCAGTTGGCTGGAGAATAATACCAAACTCCAGTGATTTTTTTTTTTTTTTTTTTAATATATGAACCAATAATGGGTTAACTATATCTTTCCTGTTTCTTTGAATGCATACTTTAAGATATAACTGGTTTTTAAATTTTTTTTTTCTGTGAAAGGTCAGATAGTAAATACGGTAGGCTTTGCTGGCCACAGCTTTGTGTTGCATACTCTTTTGTTTGTTTTAGAATTGTTTAAAAATGTGAAAACTGT